CCCGCATCCCCCTTCTATCACCATGAGCATGGTGAAGGTGCTTCCCTACATTTGGTTGGCTGTTTCCTGCTACAGTACCACCTATCTCTCTCTTCCTTTTGTAGGTTGTGCTTGTCACCACGTACTAACCCCACCTACAGCATGTTAAGAAGCTTCAGGGGGTAGCCGAATTAGTCTGTGCAGGATAAACTTAAAAAATAACAAATGGTCTGGTAGCACTTTATAGACTAACAAAACATGTAGATGGTATCATGAGCTTTCCTGGGCAAGTGTGTTTGGTTTTCCCTTTGATATTTACATACCCTCTGCAAGCCTGGAATACTAAAAATAGAATCTACTGGACAATTTTTCAGGTTGCAAGCATATATGTATTCAAATAACTTTTCTCCTTACTGTGCAGGTATACTTCCTTCTTTTGTCACCTATTGAAATGTCTAAGAAGTCTCACAGAGGCATTTCTTAGACATTCTGCCTGATCACAAGTTCAGAGCACTCAGAGACATGAAGGAAAATGGTAAGTTCCACTGTTGTGATGTTGGCTATTATTTGATGTGTGTGTGTGTGTGTGTGTGTGTGTGTGTGTGTGTGTGTGTGTGTGTGTGTGTGTGTGTGTGTGTGTGTGTGTGTGTGTCAGTCACACATTGTCGGTTGATTGAGTTTTAATTAGCATTTACTTCGACCAGTGAGTCCATACCTGAATTCAGCCAGGTTTTACCTGTCAGATGGTTTGCTGACCAGGCGGATGTGGAATGAAAAATCTGAATAGAGCTTGGGGAATTGAGCATGTTGCAAAGCTTAGCTCTTCCGCACTGATGCAGTGTGTGTATTTTCTTACACAACGTTGTTAATGAACAAGTTATCCTAGTCTGTCCTAGGGCTATTCACTGCAGTGATGGTGAGTGTTTGCACAGTCATTCTCTGTCATTTGGCACACTTGTAGATGGACATGCAGCATCGTGTTGTGAGTTCAAGGCCAAACGCTTGTTAGTCTTGTTAGAGCACATGTAGAGCACATACTAAGGGTGCGAAAGTGTAACCATGCACGTGGTTAACCGATGAACCTGGGCTCATTGGTTAACCTTCACGGTTACACGCAGGCTCCTAATACATATGGGGAGCCGGCTCCCCATGTACTGGCTTGTTGGGAGCCTCCATCACCTCTCAGCCCCCACGCTGTTGCCTCTGATACAGCAGCATAGGGGTGGGGTAGAGGCAGGAGATAGCTTAAAAGCCATCTCCCCCCACACGCTGGCTCCGGGGAGCTACCTTCCCCCACGTGTAACCGTTGAAACTTTCAGCGTTTACATGATTACTGAATTAAATGCACATTAACATCCCTTGTACGTACCGAGAAGCCGCTCCCCTGATAAAATGCATGGGGAAAAGGACCTTTTGCTTTGTGATCAGTAACTTGTTTATGAATAATCAGTAAGGAAACAATAAACTTAAAGGTGTCCTAGTAAAACAAAATAACTGCATCAATGCATATAGAGAAGCCTAGAGATTATCTTTATAGGCTCCGATAATAGAAGCAAAGTTTCTGGCTTGTTTACCCAGCCGAAAGTTTCCCTTCCCCCTCCACCCTATTTAAGTGTTCTTGTAAACCAGCAGATCATCTCAGTGCAATCCAGAATAATCACAATGACCCAGATTTGCTGAGCGCAGTGACTGTAGCATGCTGATCCCACTGTCTCTTATTTTAACAGAAACCTGAGCTACAACAAGTTGACAGAGATCGATCCTTCTGCCTTCGCAGAGCTGCCCAACCTGCGAGAAGTGTAAGTCCTTTTTCCGAGGTTTTACTTGCATTTTTGCCAGGATGGCTCATGGAGCAATAGGAAACTGTAGATGGTTTCCCAAGACACCCCTTAGTTGACTTGTGTCAGCAGCTCAGACTGGATGTGTTTTTTTGTACTGTACCTGTATGCTCCGGTTTTTGTAAACCAGTCAGTTTAATTGAGTTGTTGTGTTCTTCTGGAATACACCTCTTGGAAGTCATTGGCCTCCCTCTCCGCTTTATGCGTGGCTCCTTGGGAGCAGTTGAGTTAACACACCTGAATGTGCACATGACTCTTTACTGAAAGACTATCCCTGCAGCAAGGCAGAACAGCCCAAGCCAGGACATCTGATGCCAGCCGAACCTAAATCTCCTAGGAAACAAAGGTGTAGTGTAATGGACAAGAAAGCACTTAACTCTGTCTCCTCTTGCTGCTGGCATTTGTATTGCTTTTGGAACCAGGACAAATTTTGTTTGCAGTCTGCTTTGAGAACCTAAAGCAGTGGGTTTTGTTTCATGGTTTGGGGGGCTGGCAAAGGACAGGGTATGAGTAAAAGGGATCCCCACATCTCAGATGATATTACAGGCTGAACCTCTCTAGTCCAGAACTCTCATGCCGGACCACAGATGTTTCTGGACCAGATTTTAGTTAGCTGGATGTCCACTTTTCATGGCTGTGGCCATGTTTCCTGCTCTCCCATAAAGTTTTTTTTTCAGCCACAGTGCTGGCTCTGTGTTCTGTGCTGTTATCTAGCTCCAGTTTGCCCCTAAATGTTCTCCAGCAGCCCAGTAAGCTGTGGAAGTGTTGGTAATGCTGCGAGGCCATTGTTTCTCAATCTTTTTAAAATAAAATACCCCTTTACCAAAAAAAAAAAAAAAAAAGGCACCCCCAGTATCTACAGTTTTCAGACGCAAACACTTTTTTTCTACCATTGCAACACGTATTTGTTTAAATAACTTACCGTCTTTTAGCGTATATAACCCGCGGGTTGTACACGTTTTTACAAACCCTGCTCCCCCTCCTCCCGTGGGGTATACAACTTTGTTTTTACTCACCTGTGCTGTGCTCTCCGTTCAACCTCCCGCCCAGAGGAGGGCGGGTTGCGCCTGGCTGCAGCTGCGCGGAGCCTGGGTGAGAGTGCGGCTCCCCTCCCGCAGGCCGGCCAGCTCGCCTGCGCTGCGCTCTACGTTCCTCCCGCTGGCAGCAGGTTGGCTACCTAACAGAAGATGCAGTTTATCCTGGTATTTGCAATTATCTTGAAGTAGTGTGTATAACCTGTGGGTTATCTAAAACTTTTATTTACACGTTCAGGAAAACCTGCGGATTATGCATGGGTATGGGTTTTCCATGAGGGCGGGTTATATACTCTAATTTACGGTAATTGTAGCTGGGCAGGTGATATTTTTGGGTGTAAAAAGTACAAAAATAATAAAGCGCTGTAAAACTTCAAACAAAAATTCAGTTTCCTCCAAATTTCAGTTGTGTTGAAATACCCTCCAGACTTTTCTCAAGTACCCCGAAGGGGTTTCCACTCTGGACTTGCAGGCTTGCCACATGCTCGCTTCATGCTGATCTTTGAAAACATTCAGTGGTTAATGCCCATGCTGCTGCTCTGATTGTCAGATGTTAATAGCATGTCTGTGAGCTCTGACGGGGTGGGGGCAGCAAAAAATGAAAGTGACTAAATGTCTTCTGTGGTGGGTTGAGGTAATGGTCTTTCATTAGAATGTTAAATGACTGGCATGCTTGAGGTTTGGTTTCTGTTGGAAAAGCTACTGAGGCCTCCTGGGATGCTGAGGAAACGTTTCGTTCTAGAAATACCACTGCACGCTGTCGGGATCAGGCATTTTTTTTTTTCTGGTTCTTCATCCCTTTTCATTAAGCCTTGGCTCTCGCGCCAGATCTTGACATCCTCAGACAAAACAATTCACGTCAGATGCCGGAGTCTCGTCTGACGGATGCCTGCAGGATTGGACCCTAACTGTCTGCGGCTCTGTGGATTACAGAGTGGTCAATTGATTTATTAGGTAACAGGCTCATGACCTTAGGGGAGGAACACGCAGCAAGAGGAGCTGGAATACTCCAAAACAAGGATGAATATTTAGGATATAAAGAGCAACAGTGAGAAAAAGAGGAAGTAATACAGGCAAGCAAAAAAAGGTGTTTATGTAATAAATTTTCCCAGTTCTTTAAACGTTGGAAAGCCTTAAATTGCTCAGGCCATAGAGAAGAGAACCACCGAGCCTGTCTCATGTTGTCGAATATTACCTGAATACAGTAGTGGCTGAAGGGTGATTTTTATACATGAAAGAATCTGAAGCAGGGATGTTGGCTAGCCTGTTAATGTGTAACTGCTGGAATTTTTACTGGTTACATGTTTACATGCTGCCTGGGAGGAGGGGACAGATGGGAGTTGGAGTTGGGGGGGGAGGGAGAACAGCTTTTAAGCCAGCTCCCTCTGAGCACCCTCCCCCTGCTGCCTCCAATAAAGAGGCAGCAGCGTGGGGGAGGGGCGGCTCTGCGGGAGCCGATATGCATGGGGA